TTTGCTTGTTCTGGGCATTTCATATAAATGTTATCATAAAATATGTGTTCCTTTATGACTGGCTCCTTTACTTCAGCATATTGTTTTCAAAGTCCATCCATGTTGCAGCATATATTACTACTTCATTTCTATTTCCTGCTGAATAATATTCCATAGTAGGAATATAATACATTTTATTTATCTATTTATCAGCTGAAGGACATTTGATTAATTTCTACTTTTTGGCTATTATAAATAATGCTGCTATGTGCTATGAACATTCATGTACACTTTTTTTTCCTTTTTTCACCCTCCCCAAAGTTTTTTTTTTAGAGATGGGGTCTTGCATGTTGCCCAGGCTGGCCTCAAACTCCTGGGCTCAAGTGATCCTCCACCTCGGCCTCCCAATAGCTGGGACTACAGAAGTATGCCACCACACTTGGTTTCATTATGGTTTTGATCATCATTTCCTGATGGCTAACGATGATTGTCTTTTCATGGGATTACTAGTCATTTGTACATATTATTTGGAGAACTCTTTTCCAATCCTTTGCTCATTTTTAAAATGAGTTGTTTCTTCATTAAGTTGTAAGTGTTGTTTATATATTCAAATACATATATGTATTTCAGATCATATGTATAAGTCTCATACTTATGATTAAAAAAATTTTCTCTCAGAAGTAGATTGTCTTTTCACTTTCTTGAGGGTATCCTTGGAAGCATGAAAGTTTTTTGTTTTTAATGTTGATGAATCCAGTTTACGTATTTTTTATTTTGTTGCTTGTACTTTTAGAATCATAACTCAGAATCCATTGCCTAATCCAAAGTCATGAAGATTGACACCTATTCTATTAAGAGTTATATGGTTTTAGTTCTTACATTTAGATCTTTGATCCATTTTGAGTTAATTTTTATATATGATATGAAGTAAGGGTTTAAATCCATTCTTTTGTGAGTGGATATCCAGTTTTTCCAGCACCATTTGTTGAAAAGACTATTATTACCCCCCACTGAATTGTCTTGCACCCTATAAAAAATGCATTTACTATAAATGTAAGAAGGTATGTCTGAACTCTCAATTGTATTCCATTCATCTATACGTCTATCCTTATGCCAGCACTACTTTGCCATGATTACTGCAGCTTCATAGTAAGTTTAGAAATTAGGAAGTGTGAGTCTCCTAACTTTGTTCATCTTTTCCAAGATTGATTTGCCTATTTTGCCTTGTGTTTGAAAGATATTTTTGCTGGATGTAGAATTATAGGTTTACTTTTTACAATACATTGTAGATGTTGTTCCACTCTTTTAAGGTGTGTTATTTCTGAAAAATGCCTGCTAAAATCCTTAGCTTTATTCTCTGTCTGTAATGTGTCTTTTTCTAGCTGCCTTTAAGACTTTATCACTGGTTCTGAGCAATTAGATTATGATGTGTCTTGGTTTATTACTTTGTCACTCAGGCTGGAATGCAGGAGCACAATCTTGGCTCCCTGCAGCCTTGACCTCCTGGGCTCAAGCAATTCTCCCACCTCCCAAGTAGCTGGGACTACAGATAGGCACCATCATGCCCAGCTAATTTTGTTTCTTTTTTGTAGAGATGAGGTCTCACTATGTTTCCCAGGCTGGTCTCAAACTCTTTGATTCAAGTGATCCTCCTGCCTCAGCCTCCCAAAATGCTGGGATTACAAGTGTGAGCCAGAGTGCCCGGCCTTTGTTGAACTTTTTATATGGGTGAATTGATCATTTTTATTAAATCTGGAAAAATTTTTTACTCTTATTTCTTCAGATATTTTTTCTGTTCCCTCTTCTCTCTTATCTCCTTCAGGGACTCAACATTATGCCACCTGCAGTTGTCGCACAGCTCACTGATGCTCTTTTCATTTAAAAATTTTTCTTTCTGCATTTCTTTTTTTCTTAGTTTCTATTGCTATATCTTCAAGTTCACCAATATTTTCTATCGTGTGTAATCTGCTGTTAATACCATCCAGTTTTTGTTTTGTTTTGTTTTTTATCTCAGACACTAGTTTTCATCTCTGGAAGTTCAGTTTGGGTCCTTTAAAAAATATATATTCTATGTTTCTACTTAACTTTTGAATCTATGTAACACATTTATAATAACTATGCTTACCTGGGATTTCTAACATCTGTTTCAATTTCAATTTCCTTCCTTCCTTCCTCCCCCCCTCCCTCCCTCTCTCCCTCTCTCTCTCTCACTTTCTTTCTCTCTTTCTCTCTCTTTCTTTCTTTCTTTTTTGAGACAGAATCTTGCTCTGTCGCCCAGACTGGAGTGCAATGGTACAATCTCGGCTCACTTCAACCTCCACTTCCTTGGTTCAAGCGATTCTCCTGCCTCAGCCTCCCGAGTAGCTGGGATTATAGGTGCCCATCACTGCCTTTTTTTTTTTTTGTATTTTAGTAGAGATGGGGTTTCACCATGTTGGCCAGGCTGGTCTCGAACTCCTGACCTTTCAGCTCCCGCAGTAGCTGGGATTATAAGGTGCCCATCACTGCCTTTTTTTTTTTGTATTTTAGTAGAGATGGGGTTTCACCATGTGTGCCAGGCTGGTCTCGAAACTCCTGACCTCAAGTGATCCACCCCTGCCTCGGCCCTCCCAAAGTGCTGGGATTACAGGTATAGCCACCATGCCCAGTTTCAGTTTTCTTAAATTTTTCTTTTGAGCACATTTGCTGGCCTCTTTGGAGGTTGGTAATCTTTATTGGATGTGAAACATTATTAATTTCACCTGTTGGGTACTAGATGTTTTTCAGCATTGTTGAGCTTTGATCTAGGATATATTATTTGGAAACAATTTGATTCTCTCAGCTCAGGCTTTTACAATTTATTAGGCAGGACTGGAGCAGTGCTTAATCTAGGGGCTACGTTATTCCCCACTATCAGGGAGACGAACCTTTTCTGTGTACTCCACCAGTGCCACGTGAATAATGAGATTTTCAGTCTTCAGTGGGAACGGACACTTTTCCTGGCCCTGTGTGAATACTGGGTACCTCTAATCCCTTCAGGTGATTCTTTTCTAAAACCTCAAGTATTTTCCTTCCACAACACTGCCCTGATTAGTACTCAGTTGAATACTTGAAGATCTCTGGAGTTCTCTCTTCATACAGCCTCTCTTTTTCTAGGAACTCTCCTCACACAAATATAGTCACCTTGATCTTTTTGGACTCTCTTAGCCGCATCATCTCAACTCGGAGTCTGCCAAACTCAGCCTGGGGTCCCCAACCTTGCACAAAAGCCTGGAAATTCTTTCCAGGCAGTAATCTAAGGCAATCATTGGCTCACCTAGTCTATTTCCCATCTCTCAGGGTTTCATGGTTCCTTTGATGACTGATAGCAATGTCTTCATAATTTTTTTTTTTTTTGAGACGGAGTCTCACTCTGTTGCCCAGGCTGGAGTGCAGTGGCGTGATCTCGGCTTACTATGAGCTCCGCCTCCCCCAGGTTCACACCATTTCCTGCCTCAGCCTCCCGAGCAGCTGGGCTACAGGTGCCCGCCACCACGACGCTGGCTAATTTTTTTGTATTTTTAGTAGAGACGGGGTTTCACCATGTGGCCAGGATGGTCTCGATCTCCTGACCTCCTGATCCACCCACCTCGGCCTCCCAAAGTGCTGGGGATACAGGCATGAGCCACCGCGGCCTAGCTGTCTTCATAAATTTTAATGCGTTCATATATTTGTCCATTTTTTGTTGTTTTAAGTAGAAGGAAATAAATCCAGTGCCTGTTATTCCATCTTGGCCAGAAGTCTCAAGACAATTTTAAAACATCAATTTTTCCCCTACAAGTTACCCAAAGATTTGCTGATCTTTACAGGCAAAACTCTTCTTCCTCCCCATATGCTAGCTCATTTCAAAAATATTTCTGAGAAACCGGTCCCCTTATATCTGTGTAGCGCATTAGAGCTAACACCAGAATTTAATATATTGAGATAACATTGTTTTTCTTGGGAAAAAATGTATTTGTGTCATACTGATAATAAATCATTTTTATATGAAAAGGGTACCTGGCCAAAAAAAAAAAAGAAAAAAAAAAAAACCCATAGAAAAATTTTAAGGCTCAAGCTTTTTTTTGCTGGATAGATCTACAGATACAAAATCCCTAATCATAACACAAAGCCTCTCTAG